GATCTACCAAAGAGCGAGATGGGGAGGGAGGACCAAGCCTTCAGTTCTCAGGTGATTCTATCAAAAATCAGGGGAAAAATTGAGTCGATAAAGCGATGCAGGGTCTCTCCCTATTTTGATGCCCAAATAGGTGATGTGTTGGGAGGCTACGTGAAGTGGGGAAGATTTCACTCATGATTGGGAGCTTGATGGATTTAGCGGGAGGATTTAACTTTTTGTGAAGTTGAGGGGACTGCCGAGGAGAAAATAAGAATATCATCTGCAAAGAGAGCAGCCCGCATGGTGACATCGCCAATTTTGATCCCTGACAGGAGGGGGTGGGAATTAACCACTTCACATCTGGCCCATTGCCAATAAACGGCCGGACGGGAACGCTGCCGATGCAGGTGGAAGCTTCTAAATGTCCTCTCGCTTCCATTGCCTGTGTGCGCTCCCTGGAAGTGCGTGGCACCACGATTGGTGCACAGATCGTTGTATGGGACCACTGTGTGAGGTCTCGATTCATGTGATCACTGATTGGCCAACCAGTGATCACATGAATAGTAGTAAACAAGATGTCACTTCCTGACATCATTGCTTACTACTTGTAAAATCTGTGAATGATCACAGAGGTCACATGGTACAAGGCTATTCACAACAGCCTTGTACCATGTGACAAGCTGTGACCAATCACATCTCGCACAGTATTTCTCAATGGCTGCAAGAATGCAGCCAGAGAAAATGAGCTATGATTGCTTTTACAGCCTTTATGGGTATAAAAGCAATCAGTGTAAAAAAAGAAGAAAAAAAACTTCATCACCCCCCACAAGTAATACAGTGTCACTATGGTGACACTGTACTGCTAGGGTGACAGTATGTAAAAAAAAACATAAATAATATTAAAAAATAAAATAAAAATGTAAAAGAGAATTTAAAAACGTATAATTTTCGGTTATAAGCTAATTTTAGTAATTTTTTTTTTTTACTAAAAAGATAGATGAATACATTTTGGCCAAGATTTATGAAGAAATATTATTTATTTGCAAAATGTTATAAGAAAAAAGTTTTTTTTTTTTCCATATTTTTGCTCTTTTTCATTTACATAGCAAAAAAATAAAAATCCCAGTGCTGAATAAATACCACCAAAATAAAGTTGTATCTTTCTCAAAAAAAATGCTAAAAATGTCATATGGGTACAGTGTTGCATGACCACGCAATTGTTAAAGTGTGATAGCATTGAAAGCTGAAAATTGGCCTGGACAGGAAGGGGGTGAAAGTGTCCGGACTTGAAGTGGTTAAGAAACCTGGGGAGAGGTTCAATGGCCAGAATGAATATTAATTGGGATAGGGGGCATCCATGGCATGTTCCCTTTTTGCAGGTGAATAGGGGCTGAAACATTGCCCTGGGTAACCAGGCATGCCCTTGGGGAGGAGTACATGGAGTAGAATAAGTTTGTAGTCAGTCCCTGGAACCCCAGCTTCCTCAACACTAGAAATAACCACTGAAGATTAATATTATCAAAGGCTTTTTCTGCATCGAAGGAAAAGATGGCAGTATCTTGGTCAGGGTAGAGTCTAGCTTGTTCTAGAGCCATGATAACCTTATGTATATGCAGGACAGCCGATCTTCTCATAACAAACCCGGCCTGCACTGGGTGTAGGAGGTTAGGAACGATACCAGCCAAATGAGAAGCGACAATTTTGGACAATATCTTAGCATCAACGTTAATGAGCGAGATAGAATGATAAGATCCAGGGAGGGTAGGATATTTGTCTTTTTTATCTAATAGTTATGGAACACGTGGGGAAGTAAGGTCCGCCTTGCCATATACCATTATAGACATGGAGTAGGGTTTGAGGTATAAATTCTTGGGTCAATTTGTAAAATTCAGATGAATATCCATCAAGGCCAGGGTCCTTGTTATTGGAGAGATTTCTAATGGTAGTCAAGATATTTTCCATGGAGATAGGGGCATTCAGGGCATCTAAATGGGCTGCCGATAAACGGGGCATGTGGATTGACTTAAGGAATGACTCTGCCTTAGTCATATCCACCAGTTCCTCTGAATGCAGCTGTTTGTAAAATTGTGTCAATAATGATGTTATTTCTTGTGATGAGGTTGTAATATTTCCTTTAGGATCTTTGAGTGCCATGATATGGGTAGGTGTGCAGAGATTAGCTAAATGTTTTCCAGCTTTGTTACCATATTTGTGAAATTGTAAGGAACTATAAGAATTTTTGATCCTTTCCCTCTGGTCTACCTACAACTCGAAACACCACTTGGCCTCCATTCCAGTCTTGCTTCCGGGTATAGGTTTGATGTAGCTCTAATTGGACTTTCCGATAGGGTACTGCTGGCCTGACAATACAGTTCTAAGGAATGTTTTTTGTACTGAGAAACATACAGTAGGAGGTTTTATCCTCAACAGTATACATTAAGCTGTTAAAGTCTCCGCCCATGATATGGAGAGGTTCAGGGTAAGATCCTGAAAAAAATTGTACCTGGAGAGTTAACAGCATAGATATTTGTGAGTGCTATGTCTTTGGATGCGATAGTTAGATGAATTGTTAGTTTGCGACCTTCCTGGTCTCTATCTATTGAGCAAATAGAATAAGATAGCCTTTTATGGAAGAGGATGGCCACACCTTTCTTACGCCCTGCAGCTGAGGAGCCAATAGCTTCACCCACCCATAGTTTCTGAAGGCGATGGAGATCGTGCTCTGGCAGGTCTGTCTCTTGAAGAAGGGCAATGTTGGCAATTAGTCACTTCAAATGTTGTAAGATTTTCATTTTCTTGCCTGGGGAATGGAGTCCCTTAACATTCCAGGATATAATCCTCATTTCACCGGGTATTATGTTATTTTTTTTGTCAGAGGGAACACTCCCAGGCAAAACGATGAGGAATAGAGAAGAGGAAACTCACAAGGATCTTATATCTGCAGGGGGTGGTCTACCTGTAATCGACAGATAAACTGGGTAGGCTATAGAGAAGCGCAGCCTCCTTCTTTCCCCCGGATTAGGAACCTCAATTAGTATAGTAAGCAACTCAGAGATAAACAGAGTATTAGGTTGAACTGAATCTAAAAAAATCAACAAATAAAACAATAGCCAAGTATCCAAAATAAATCCATGGAGTTCACATTTTTCCATGTGAGAAATACACCACAATCAGAATGTCTAGCTTCCATGACCCTGGTTGATGGGGAAACTTGCAAAAGCAAGACAAACAGTGCACCATGGCGTGTGGAGTACTTCATCTGCACCTCAGCAGCAAAGCTAGAAATTCTTAGCTCTATTTCTTATTGTGTATGCAATACTGGGTTCTCCAGCTGGAGAAATACACAGAGAGGAAGGATACATAAAAAGCAAATTTGGTAAACATAGTAAACATGTTAAACATGGCACAGCATAAGCTGTTGCGAGCATATCCTCCTTAGGTTGAGGTGGTTTGTCCCCTGAATTTAAAGTGTGCTTCTTGGGTCCTTCAGCATAGCGTCCACGTTTGGAAGGGTGCTTCATGGGGCTGCTTTGATGTTTTATGGTGTTGGTTCCCACAGTGGGCGAATCAGCTATTGTGTCGTCCATGAGATGATTAGAGGTTAGATCACCAGCCAGCATGGATTCCACATTTTGTTTAGCAGCTGCGGGAGATGTGAAGGACAGCTGTTCTCCTTTGGGGGAACGTAGGAGTAAAATCGCCGGATAGGCTAGAGAGAATTTCAGGTTATGTTGGTAGAGAAGGGAGTAGGTTGTGGCAAAAGTCTTACATTTGTTCGAGACTTCCGCTGAATAGTCAGCAAATAATAGTAATTTGTGATTGTTCATGGAGGAGCTCCCACCCTTGCCATAGAATTGCAGAATGAGTTGTTTATCCACACAATTAAGATAGCGGACAATGACCGGTCTGGAATTAGGTTATTGTTCTTGTTCATGCGGTGGGCCCACACGATGGGCTCATTGAACAACGGAGGGATAGCGAAGGCCCACAACTTCAGGAATGTGGTGGCTGCAGAGCTCCATTAAGGATGATGGATTATAGGATACTGGCAGTCCTGTAATGCATAGGTTATTCCTATGAGATTTGTTCTCCGAATCTTTTTTATCAATCAGAAACTGGGGTACCCCCCCCCGTGGAGATGGATGTGTTTACCTGGAGAAGTTGTTTTTTCTACAGAGGATATACGCCGCTCTGCTTCCTCTAGCCTATGTGTCTGGCTGTGAATCTCTTGTCGTAGATGTTCTATGCCTTGTTGCACTGCCTTTTCTACAGCCTGTGATATCAGCGGAGTAAGTATGTGTGCCACTGCTTGAGTAATCCTGGCATGTGAGGATTCAGTATCTTCTGCCGCCTGCATAAATGGTGGAGGAGGGACATCAGTTAGCAGTTCAGGCCATCTTGGATATCACCTCCAGCACTGTGTTGGCATCCCACCGGGTCCCCTGTGCTGCTTGGGGAGCGGAGCGCTCCACAAAGTGGCCCATCTGGTCCCCTAGGGTAGGAGGGTGATGGTCTGCCCAGTGGCTTGGAGTGCTGGCAAAATTATAGAGTGCGGGTGACAGCTGGGCTGGGAGCTATGATGGAATCACTCCATCCTCACACGGTGCCGGAACCGGAAGTAACAAAACTAGAATTTGAAGAACAAAATGGCTTCCAGCATGTCCATGTAGAAATGATAAGCTCAGGTCTTCCTGTTTCATTTTCTGTGCCCAAAACAGTTCAACACACTGGAACCTGTAAATATGACACTTATCATTCAAAGTTGTGGAGAACCATTCCATTCCCCCCACGGCAGTCTGCAGCTGCCTGCAAAAATTTAGAGTGCTCCCCGGAGGAGGATGCAGCTCTAAATCTGGGACTTTAATTATTGTTTTCTTGGCATAGTGACTTTATCAGAAGACAGCGGGAGGTTTACAGTCATAAACAGACAATGGTGAAATCTTAGAAAAATAAAAAAAAGTCAACGTCCCCCCTACACCTTTTGCAAGAGCTCATTTGAATTTGTCAATGGAGAGTTCATATTAATGTTGCACAGAATTTGCAGAAAGGTTTATATATTTCCTCACAACTTCTTTGAAGTCTTTATTCCTCAGGCTATAAATAATTGGATTCATCAGTGGGGTGACTATAGTGTAAAATAATGACAGGAATTTTGAAATATTCCATGAGTGTCCTCTTCTAGGTACCAGGTACACACAAAATAGAGTACCAAAGTAGATGAAAACAACAGTCAGGTGGGAGCTGCATGTCGAGAAAACTTTTTGTCTGCCATCAATAGATGGGATTTCAAAAATAGTAATTATAATATAAACATATGATATAAGGATAATAAAGAATGGGATGACAACAACTATAACACTCAACATTGTAAAAGCTGACTGAATAATGGTGGTATCAGAGCAAGAAATTTTTAGAATTGGATCGAGATCACAAAAAAAGTGATCGATAATATTGGGGGACCGCAAAATTGTAACATTGCTATTGTAAAAGAGTTGACTGATACAACAAACATGATTAAAGTCCAACTTGTGGTAATCATTATCCAGCAAAGCTGAGGGTTCATTATCAAACTATAATGTAATGGTTTACAGATGGCCAAATATCTATCATAAGACATCACAGTCAGAAGAAGACACTGCAACGTTTCTGCAACAGCAAAGAAATAAAACTGTATAATACAACCAGAAAATGTTATTGTAGTTTCTCCTAGCAAAACAAGATGGAGCATGTTAGGGAGAATGTCAGTTATTAATAAGATGTCCGATAAAGACAGCTGGGAGAGGAAGAAGTACATGGGGGAATGGAGGGTTGTGCTGTGTAGGACACCAGTGTGATGATCAGGAGGTTTCCACATATTGTCACACAATAAATCATAAGGAGAATAAAGAAGACTAAATATTTTATATTTTGAGGGGTCTGAAATCCTAACAGGTGGATGGTGGTAATTCTGGTCACATTAAATTCATCCATAACCTGAAAAAGATTATTTAAATGTGTTAGTAATTTCCCTGCTACTTTTTAGGAAGAAAAGTAAAAAAAAATAGAAAAGACGAGAAAGGAGGAAGAGAAAAGGGACAAGAAAGGAAGAGAAAAGGGAAAGGTAAGGAAAGGAAAGGAAAGGAAGAGAAAAGGGATAGGAAAGGAAAGGAAGAGAAAAGAAAAAGGAAAAGAAGAGAAAAGGAAAAGGAAAGGAAGAGAAAAGGGAAAGGAAAGGGATAGGAAAGGAGAGGAAAGGAAAGGAAGAGAAAAGGGAAAGGAAGAGAAAAGGGAAAGGAAAAGGAAAGGAAGAGAAAAGGGATAGGAAAGGAAGAGAAAATGAAGAGAAAAGGGAAAGGAATGGGATATGGAAAGGAAAGAAAGGAAAGGAAAGGAAAAGAGAAAAGGGAAAGAAAGGAAAGGAAAGAAAAGGAAAATAAAGGAAAGGAAGTGAAAAGGGAAAGGAAAGGAAGAGAAAAGGGAAAGGAAAGGAAGAGAAAAGGGAAAGGAAAGGGCAAATTGTACTCTTTATACTTTGTGGCATCTGAAATCCTAAGAAGTGGAGCATGGTAATTCTGATCACATTTATCCTTCCACAACCTGTAAAAAATGTCAAAGGAATAAGTTATGTTTGCCCAGCTGTTGAAAATGTTTTGAACTGAACTTGATGGATTGCAAAGAAGGAGAAGAAGAGAAGTTCAGCAGGTTCAGCAGGGACCAACCAAATTTCAATTCATTTAGAGTGATTCCTGCTTAACAGAAGTCTGTCTAAAGAATGACTTTGGTTGAACAGGAATGTTGGAAATTTTTCATTTAAACAGTGGCTACAGGCAGATAGTTGGGGCACTGATTAGTGTATTCTGACCACAGAGGAGTCTATGTTCTCATAATACAATAGCACAGCAGGGAGGATTTCTCCATCCTGATTGTGAGTCAGGGAATCACTTAATTTTTTTGTATCAGCCTGCTGGCTGATAAAAAAAAAAAAAAAAAAAGATCCATCTCTGACCAGCATTAGAGTAATGTTCATCTGAGCTTATGGCCATGCTTGTAAATTGTAAAAACATTGTGTTAGTTTGACAGCAGAGATCCTAAAATACATTTCTGATACAATATCACAAAAAATCCATATCCACCAACTCCAACAAATAAGAAAATAATATACAGTATGCCTCTCATCTCTTTCATAAGTATTAAAAAAAAACTATTGCTGAATTACAAGGTCTATAGCTTAACTACATGCCACCCAGCCACTGTACATATATAGGGTGGCACTCACAGGCAAAACCACGTTTTAAAACGTGTGTTTTGTAAACAAATAGGGGGCGCCGCCGCCCTATCTGTCCCGCGGTTCACCGCCGCAGATGTCAGTCGCCGGGTCACAGCCGCTCCTTAGCAGCTATGTCCCGGCGATCGGCGGCAAACAGTGACAGACAACACAGCTGCAGTAGCTGTGCTGTCTGTCACTTCCCTGTCAGCTCGAGGATGAGCTGATCGAGAAAGAACAGTTTCTCTTTCTCGATCAGCCTTGTCCCGCCCAGTACACACCCCGCCCCCTAGTAAAACACTCCCCTCACTCCTATAACCCTTCCCTGCAAAATAAAGTTAACCCCTTCCTCCCCATTGCCATTAGTACAGTGTCAGTTTTTTTTTTTTTGCACTGATCACTGTATTAGTGTTTTTGGGGACGTCAGTGACCCCAAGTCAGTACCCCCCAATGTCAGAATGACCACCGCAGTCCCGCCATAAGTCGCTGGTCGCTGCCATAAGTCCCTGATCGCCGCCATAATTCGCTGATCGCCGCCATTATTAGTATAACAAAAACCCCTAAAAATCCCAATATCTTTCCCGCCATTTGTAAACGCTATAACTTTCACGTAAACCAATTAATTTACACGTATTCGGGTTTTTTTTTTAGCAAAGACATGTCGCAGAATGCATTTTTGCAGAAATTTATGACTAAATTTGATTTTTGCATTTTTTTTTACTAGACATGTTTTATAGCAAAAAGTCCAAAATATTGTTTTTTTTCCCTCAAAATTGTCAGCCTTTTTTTTTTATAGCGCAAAAAAAAAAACTGCACAGGCGATCAAATACCACCAAAAGAAAGCTCAATTTGTGGGGGAAAAAAAGATGTAAATTTCATTTATGTACCGTATTGCATGACCGCGCAATTGTCCGTTAAACTAGCGCAGCGCTGTATAGCAGAAAATGGCGTAAATTGCAGTATCTATCCCATAGTTTGTAGACGCTATAACTTCCACACAAAGCAATCAATATACACTTATTGGGATTTTTTTTACCAAAAATTTGGAGCAGAATACATTTTGGCCTAAATTTATAACCAACTTTGAGTTTACTATATATTTTTTATAGCTGAAAATAAAAAATATTGTTTTTCTTCAAAATGTTTGGCCTTTTTTTGTTTATAGCGTGAAAAATAAAAAGTGCACAGGTGATCAAATTACACCGAAAGAAAGCTCTGTTTGTGTGAAAAAAAGGACGTAAATTTCGTTTGGGTGCAGCATTGCATGACCGCGCAATTATCAGTTGAATTAGTGCAGCGCCGAGTAGCAAAAAGGCGTGGTCATTAAGGGGGGTAAATCCTCAGGAGGGGGAGGGGTTAAAAGGGAAAATGACCCTGCAACTCTATTGGTTAAAGACTTTTAGTGTTTTTAAATGTTTCATTTTTCATTACTTGCTTAAGAAAATTATTTTGACAGTGCTAACATCATTTAATAAAATAGTGAATACAATTTCTATAAACCCTTTAAAATATACTTACCACATTTTAAAATAAAGCAAAAAATACAGAAATAATAATGCAGAAGATATGGAAACAATGATACGTGTCCAAGAGACGTTAATGCTGCTAATTGTACAGAACGTCCTTGCTTTTAAGGATAAGAAAAATAAATTATATGAAACCATTGGGGATTTTAAATATTTATGGATACTTTCATGGGAGTCATTACATTTAAAATATACAAGTATTATTGATAGATTTATTTTTATTTTTAGAAAAATAAAACTGTTTAATATAATAGGTTGAATCTTCAGAGAGGTAAAATAAGCCTTTATTGGCTAATAACATTATCCCTTGTATAGTAACTAGAGATGAGCGAATCGAACATGACGAAGTGGAATTCGTTTTGAAGATTAGGAAAAATTCGATTCGCGCCGAATCCGAAAATTAGCAAACTTCGGATGCACGAATCGAATTTTCCCAAAAATGGCGGCGACATGTGTGGCGACGGAGCGGGGATCTCTGGGAAGGCGCGCAGACAAGGCGCGCTGACCCATAATGCATTCATTCATGACATGTGATCGCATTAGCCAATCAGCAGCCAGCCAGCCAGCACTGTGTAATGGTGGAGCTATAAATCGCGGCCATCTTAGAATTCTCCATTAGCCTCCGGTCATTCAAGAGAAACAGACCTGTCTGTATTAGGGACAGAGTTAGGGCCACAGAGACTTTAGGGCCACAGAATCGTTACTCAGGGACACAGAATTGTTACTCAGGGACACAGAATTGTTACTCAGGGACACAGAATCGTTACTCAGGGACACAGAAGTGTTACTCAGGGACACAGAAGTGTTACTCAGGGACACAGAATCGTTACTCAGGGACACAGAATTGTTACTCAGGGACACAGAATTGTTACTCAGGGACACAGAATCGTTACTCAGGGACACAGAATCGTTACTCAGGGACACAGAATCGTTACTGAGGGACACAGAATCGTTACTCAGGGACACAGAATCGTTACTCAGGGACACAGAATTGTTATTCAGGGACAAAGAATCGTTACTCAGGGACACAGAATCGTTACTCAGGGACACAGAATTGTTACTCAGGGACACAGAATTGTTACTCAGGGACACAGAACCGTTACTGAGGGACAGAGAATCGTTACTGAATGACACAGAATCGTTACTCAGGGACACAGAATCGTTACTCAGGGACAGACACAGAATTGTTACTCAGGGACACAGAATTGTTACTCAGGGACACAGAATCGTTACTCAGGGACACAGAATTGTTACTCAGGGACACAGAATTGTTACTCAGGGACACAGAATCGTTACTCAGGGACACAGAATCGTTACTTTCTGCTTCACAAACACTATTGAATTAAAGAGTATGTCAGACAACACACAGAGGAGTGGCAGAGGAGGCAATGTTTCAGGAGCGAGCAGACGTGGCAGCAGAGGAAGGGGTCGAGGCAGCACTAGTCGCAGCCAGAGGCCAGTGCTCCCGGTGTCATCCAGCGGTCGTGTCTCCACCGACAACCCTGCCGTCATCGATTGGTTGGCTCGGTCGTCTTCCTCTTCCCAGGTCACCTCTGACACCTACAGCCAACGGTCGGTGGGTACGTCAGACACAACCGTTAGTTGGCATGGCCCGGGAGCAAGCCCACTGAAATCAAGTGTCCTCTACCTGCCCCTGTCCTTTGGTGTTCCCTCACCAA